GGTTGATGCGTTCAACAGAGATGTTGTAAAAGCTTTATGTCAATGTCCAGCAGGTATTGGAGGAAAATGTAAGCATGCATATGCATTAGCACAATATATAAATACAGAGAGTGATTATTCTAAAACAAGTGATCGTTGCAAGTGGAATGAACCTAAAATTTCAAAGGCAGGAAAAGAAAAATATTGCAAGGGTAAAAGAATAGACGAACTATTTCCACCTAAGCTTGTTCAGTTGACACCATCCATCCATACAAACACAATTCCTGATTTCATAATACCATTTTTATTTAAAATTGTCAAAGAAATTGATGAAGAAAAAAAATCAGAGTGTGAAAAAATTGTTTCTGAAGTCTTAAATAATTTAATAGAAAACACTTTAGAGTCACTAAGATTAGAACCGTCCACTTTTCTTATAAATAAGATTTTAATAAATCAAAAACAAGATAAAAATATTATCAAACCTGATTTTATAAATAAAATAACTGAAACTTTTTATGTAAACAATGTTAAATTATAAGATAATGAATATTTGTATAAACACAGTATAACAGTCTAACAGTAGGGCATTAATCTATAAGTCCTTACTCAGGCCACTATGGACTTATGGCATTCAATTATGGGGAGCCGCTAAACCCTCAAACAGCCGTACAATCCAAGCCTTCCAATCAATATGCCTTCACCTAATTACATCTGCACCCTGGTATTTAACCAAAAATTCCCTTCACAAAGATCTTAAAATCCAAAATATCAACCAAATCTCCAAACTATACTATACCAGACTTCACAACAAACTTCAATAACATACAAATCCACTAATCTATAAATTATAAACGAAAACACTCCTTAATAACCCGCGTCGTAGACTTAAAAGGAAATGGTGTAAAGATCTTCTTCTATAGTAAGAGAGCTTAATAAGTGCTGGAGGTCATAACCAGGTAACACCTTCAAACCAAAAAAAAAATATATTTAAATATATATATTTTTTTCTCTTTCTCTCTCTTTTCCATTTATCAATGTTATTCTGTCATTTATTGGGTGTTACCATTGGGTATCCTCCCTAATCCCATGAATCATGTTATCTGTTTTTTTTTTATTTACTATCACTTATCAAACCTACTTATTGTACAAAAAAATTATATGTATAGATTGTAGATTTCTACAATAAAATAAAAAAAAAAAAAAAACAGTAGGGCATGGTTTGATGAAAGGTCAATTAGATTTTCAGCTAGCAAAGCACAATTGGTAAAAATCATATTAAGAAATTTTGAAAAATTATCTATGTCTTTAATAAATGAGAAGCCAATGTTTGGCAAAGATCTGAAAAATGTTACCTACCTATGGAAATGAAAATGAAAAAATTGAGTTAAAAAATATATATAGAAATGTATGAGATTGAAGTTTATGAATGTAGTTTAGTTATAACCAAAACGTTTAAATCCTTGGTTGTGTGGAAGTCCGGATGGAATTGTAATGTCTGATGGAATACCTATAAAAGTTTTGGAAATAAAATGTCCCACTTCTTGCCATAATCAACCAATTATTACTGATTCAGAATGTAATTTAAATTATTTAAATAAATATAGTAATGGAGTTATTATGTTAAAAAAAACCACATTTATAATACTCAATGCCAAGTTTTGATGTACTGCTGTGGTTTGCAATACTATGATCTTTTTATTTATTCAAGTAAATATAAATGTATTTTAATTAATATAAATAAAGATGATATTTTTTTAAAGAATTGTGTTTATAAAATGAATAATTTTTATTTTAAATATAACTTAAAACAATTAACAATTCATTTTGGATTATAAGGTTTTATATCTTAGTACAATAAAAAAGTAACTTTTCAATATACATGTATATATCATATTATAATGTAATTTTTGTTGTGGTTTTAATATCATTAAAATTCTTTAAATGTAAAACTATGTTTAAATTTAAAGGTTTATATTGATGTACCTATAATTTATATACACATGATAAATATACCTACATATTAAAATGAATACAAAATCATATTTTTCATTTAATTAAAGGTAGCTGTAAATTTGTCATAACACAACACACGAATATTATATTATCAATAGGTACATTCCAAAAGTTCAATGGGAATTTTTTGAAGTATGTTATACATTTTTATTCTCTGAATAGATCTTTCAACGTGTATTCGAACACTAGCAATATTACAGGTTCTTATAATTTCGTCTACAGTAAAAACTCCATTGTGCATAAGGGGGTAAAATCGAGTTTTTTTAATTTACACTAGCGTACATTTAAACTAACGTAACATAATACGCATCAACGTCGATCGGAATGTCATGCCGCACAGTATGGAATAGATTTTTAAAAAGATTACCTATCGCATTACTTAAATTGAATCGCGAGCAGCTATAACATCAGTCGTCACCGCGTCTAATTACATATACCTACCAGCTAAACTACGATAACTACACGTACAATTTAATGTTTTAATCTAATCTAACCTACCCATTTTGAAAATGTGTGTGTTAATCGAGCTAATGATTATCGACAATATTTAAAGTCTAAGATTTTCAATTGTTCTCTGACTATGGTCCTAGCTATTTGAAGAGAAGTTAGAAAATTATAATTTATTTATCCAGGTAATAATTGTCAAAATATTGTATACACTTAATAGTCAAATACCTGGTTTAACGATTTTAAATACCTACCTTCTGAGCTTGTACCCCAAAAAAATAATTGACTGACGAAATTAATTTTTTATTATTTTCCCGACTAAGTGACTATTAGTTTGTCAAATACGTTTTTCATATTTACGTTTCCTCGAGATAATTGTAGTTATCGCTAAGAGAATCAACTATTATTTAATATTTTGTCAGTTGTAGTGAACTAATCACTGTAGCGTGGAGTAGTTATACCTTATGTAATCGGGGATGGATCATTGACAAACGGTTTGTTCAATTTGAACGAATCAATTCAGCATACGAAATGATTTAGATTCGGAAAGTTAGAACGATTCGTTCACATAATTCATTTAGTCCATAACTTCATTTGAACCTCGACCAACTTCGAACCATTTTAAATAAGGAATCATATTTATCGATAATATTAAAATATTAACGATGATCACTAGGGATGCGCAAATTATATCAATATTATTGATACCTATATTGATATTGTGGTAAAAAATATTGATATTTTCAAGTTACTAGTAAGTAAGATAGTTATTGAATGATAAACTAATTTGATAAAATAATTTTATCAATAGTATTGATGAATATTATTTTTATTTATTATTAATTACCTACCTATATTATTATGTAATTTTATTTTTTTATATTTTATTATTACTTCTTTTTTTTGACTCATGTACTAAAGCAAGAATATTCTCCTTAACGATTGCCAAAGCAGTGTAATGTTAATATATAATATTCCAATTTTTAAAATATCTCAATACTGCTTATAATCAATAACAATAGTTGATAACTCACTTAATTAAAATGTATTTTATTAATTTCATCAAAATCTTTTTATTTTAATTTAAATACATTCTTAAAAAATTATTAATAAAATGTGCCATTACCTAAAAATGAAAAAATATACAACTAATACAATTCTTTATATAAATTTTTTAACATTTATAATATGAAAAACATTGATTGAGTGTTATTTATCTTAACCATGTCTCTACTAGTTATAATTTTATTTTGCGATTTTTTCACTAAGATAATGAATATTAAAATAATACATAAGCTATAACTAAAATATTATATGAATATAATAAATAGTGACTATTTTATACATATATTGTGACATTAGTTAAATTATTTTGTTCTATTAGTTATTTTATTAATTACCCATGTAATTAAAATAAGATTTTAAATAATACATTGAATAATGATAATTATTATACTTTCTTGTAATTCTTTAAAGAACATAATTCAACATGATATCTGTTGAAATGTTTAATATACGTATAATACATTGATATTTTAAGTTCAAGACCTTAGCTATTAAGTATATAGGATACTTTGGAACACATGCATTAATTATTAAATTAATGAATGTTCACCCATCTATTTATCAGTGAACTTTACCAAGGTCTATATCATATCCCTAAATTCCTAAAAATAAATACTGAAGCACTTAATTACTGTTTCCATTTCATATTCCATAAGACAAACGTTTGAACAATTAATTTTAGGTAATTCATAAACATATGTATTAATTAAGATATTAATTTAAAAGTACATAAAACCTATTATGATAATGATGGATTTTTATTTATATTTCCAGAAGTTAAAGATATCTTAATAACAAGGGTAATCATATCCAATACACTAAAAATAATTATATTACTTTTATTTTATAATGAATTGATAAACAATGTAACTATTTTCCATAATAATGTAATGTAATACTACAACTACAAAATATATTTTCTTATATAACTGTAATACAAATTTTGTGAAAAAAAAATACCCTCTTAATTCATACAATCAGATGGGCTATTACCCTTAAAAATGTTATAACACTACTAAAAACAAGTATTATATATACAATACAAATTAAATTATATAGGAATAAATTGTATTGAATGCAATCAGTAAAAAATGTATTTTTTTCTTTGAAATTTTACTGTTATGAGATTCAATATTTAAAATACTATTAAAATGTTATAACTCAAAAATACGATTGTTGTATTAATATGTACCAATACTGAATATTTTTTAACATTTATATTTTCTTAAAAGTGATTTAAATTAAAAGATTAATGAATATTTTTTATTTTAGTAAGCTTTTTTTTTAAAAATTGTTTTAATATTTTATATTGTCTTCTCTTTTTCGAATAATTGAATTAAATGTTACATTATACAAATAGAAAAAATAATTAATTAAATTTAAAAATATCTGTTTTGAAAATAAAATTAATCTTACACCCTACTTTTATTAAATGATTAATTATAATTTTTAGATTTATAAATATAAATCACTTTGCATAAAATGATTAGTTATAATTTTATAACAGTTCTTAATATATAACATAGTTGATTAAGTATAATCATTACTTCTATGCTTTACATGTTTTTTACTTTTCAGTTATTATTATTTTTAGACTAATAGGTACTATTTTTGTGTGCATATAAATTAAATATGAAATAGAAGTATAATAATCATAGGCGCAATAAGGTTTTTACACCCCTGAGCTTAATGCAGTACTCTTGTTTTTTCAAATACATATAAATATAGTAATTATAGAGTAATACCGTTGAATTTTATTTTTAACAACCCCAATATTAGAGCTTTAATTGCGCCCATGATAATAATACAGTACAATATATTATTATAAGGGAAACTACGAAAAATAAATCAAATTTTAAGTTTTTATTTATTGAGGCACTTTTATAGCAATTTCCTTGGAGTCATAAATTCTTTGACATCTTCATTTGTAATTTTACTTCGGTTGGATTGATGTTCTTGAATCATAGATGTCATAAGATCAATCAATATTTTTTTCAACTCTCCAGTTAACATTTTTCCAGAAGTATAATTCTAAAAATACAATAATAGATAGTTAAATTTGTAAAATATTTCCTATACATTTTCTTATACACAATAGTCATTGCAATTTAGTAATTCAAAAAAATTAATAAATATATTGTACTATGCCGTATTGAATGTGATTAGTTGTTAAATAGATAATTTATAATGAAAATAATATGATTTATGAATTTAAGACTTAATATTAAATGTATAGATAATGTTAAACAAAAACCATACTATAGTAATAGATAAAAAATAAAACTATTACTTACTCTTTCAATTTTGTTTAAATCTTCATCACTTTCTAGAAAATGTTTTAAATACTGATATGATATATCTACACTACAGTCACCACCTTTTAGTCTATGCTCTTCAACAGTTACTTGACCGCCAGAAAATGCATATTTGTTGATCTATATCAAAAATAAAAATAATATAATAATAGACAATTATTTAAAAAATATTAACTCACTTTATTCTTAATTTGTTTTGGAGTATCTGTCAAATAAATAGCCGAATTTAAATCACTTGCTGACATTTTAGAGTCAGAACCTTGTAAAGATGGTAAAAACGATGAATGTATTAATGCAGGCTTATGACAGCCAAGCTTAGGGGCAACATCTCTTGTCATTCGAAAATATGGATCCTATAAATTAATACATATAGCAGACTATATTAATTGGTATAGTAAGTAACAATTTTTACCTGATCTATAGCACAAGGTATTAAACAAGGAACTTTATTTTCTCCAAATATAAATGGAAATGTTGATGACATGCATGGAGCTGCTTGGACAGCAGGAAATGCAATTTTTCCAATTACATCACTATCACCAAATCCAAAAATTCCTTTTACTTGATTAAATGTAACACTCTTCTGAATCCTTACAACATTAGCGTAAAAAGATGGAGATTCTCTAAAACCGTTAATTTTAGTTAATAACTAAATTCCACTATATTCATTATTGATTACTAGTTTAATAAAAAATTTATAGTACCCCATAAATTGAAAATCTGAGAATATAAATGTGTTTTTTCTGTCAAATCCACATGCAATAATATCTTTAGCATTTTCTATTGATAACTTTTTGGCTTCTTCTAATTTTAAGTCTTTCCACAGGTACTTTTCATCATCAGTCAACTGGATTACAAGAGGAACATTAAATACATCTTGTAACCATCTGAAAAACAATAACATTTTTTTAAATAAAAATTACAAAATGGAAGTGAACAATTCTTACTTAGTAAATATAAATGGTACCAAATGTCCAATATGTAAAGAAGTCGATGAAGGACCTCTGCCTGTATATAAATAAAAAGGTTTACCTTTTTCATACAAATCTAAAATACTGTGTAAATCTCGATGAGAAAAGAATATTCCTCTGGTTATAAAATGATGTATAGGTTTTTTAGTGACAGATTGAATCCGTGATATCAACTTTTTATCTATTTTAGAACTACCAAATCGACCTAGAAAAACAAAATACATTATTTAACAAACTTAATTACTTTTTAAAACCCATGTATATAATATCATTAATAATTATATTATCTATGATTTTAAAAATATTAATATCACTAAAAAAATGTAAATGTACATAATAATAAATATTTTTTGTTTTGAATTAATATTCCGAAAAACACATATCCTATTGTATATTAGCCATTGTATTTGTATATGTGTATATATTTACTAAAACTTGTCACAATTATTTTCTTGTAATTTATCAAATTTCTCACACTGACTTAATTTATCTTGCAATAAATAACATTATCATTAAATATATCAATTAAATGTAGTTTTAAAAACTTATTACTAAAAACAAATACATAATAGATTTTTAAAATTATTTGTTAATATTCTATAAGAATTATATCATCATTAGAAATTATGCAATACGTACAATAAATATAAAATCAATGTACAGCACAAAATAACACAAAACAAAATAAGAACATTTTTATGATTTGCTTGATTTTAAATTTATTAAAATAATAAAAATAAATTGATTTATTTGTATTTATTAACCGACAATTATATACTAAACTTATAGTATTAGTTACATTATAATAGTAATATTAATATGATATACAAAACAAAAAATTTTTGGTCTAAGTAAAACATGACCTACATGATAAGTTAATTTATCATGTTATACGTCAATGTAACTATAGAAAACTAAATCTTATAATATACAGTAGACACTACATATAAGACTCATAAATATAAGGTTCAGTCTCTAACTGGACTCAAAACTGGACGTCTGAAATGGTCCGGAAATATCCAAATACATAAAAAGAATATTGTAGAAAATAAAATGTTGTGTTGATTATTGCTTATTACTGGTGTCTAATCATGCCATAAGCCAAGTATACATAAAAAATTAAATCACATTTTTGAATGATGAATGTGATGAGGAAGTTGACATCATAGTTGAACCACAATCAAACAAAGACATTCTAGAGGCTGTTTGCTAACCTGTTCATTACTGAAGTATTAATTTTAATATATAGTATGAATACGATTAGTATTTCCTAAATAGTTGAAAATAATATAAAAAAACAAACTAAAATCACAATTTTTTTTAATAAATAATATGGAATATGTAATATTTAGTAAAAACAAAAAAAGCAAAATAAAATTAAAAGTGAATTCAAATTGTTTTTTAAATTTTTTATTTCACCTATAAGATTCATTTTATAATAAAATTAATTTTATGCTGGTCCTAAAGGGAGTTATATAAACAGTACCTACTGTATAATTTTATAATAAGGTAGAACAAAATTAGAATCAAAAACATAAAATAATTCAAATGTAGAATATATGCATAATGTATCATATATTAAAAATACCATTTTTACATGAAAATCTTATATATAGATTAAGAAAATCAAGAAACATGTAGCCGATTAAGAGACCTTATTAATTTACTTTAAATAAATATAGGTATAGTATCTTAATAAGTTATTTGTATACTACCCTGCTAGGAAAAAATGCCATAATTAAAAAAAAAAAAAAAAAATGAGATAATACTTTCTTACGTATAACATAATAGATTTTACACAATTTTCTTAAGTTAAAATACTGTAATTATAATTATTTATCCAGATATGGGTCCTTGTAAGAAAATGATGTTGCCACAATTGTAATTAAATATTATTGATACTTAGCAAAAACGCTGTAAACACAATTTGCTAAGAAAGATTGCCGTATGTCTTATATCATATATACGGCAGTTTTACTAAGCACTTTACTTATAATATATGTTTATGGCATTGTTGTTTTGGAAACATGTCATAATAATGCCATATCTATTAATTTTATTTTTAATTACTGATAAACGATGATATTTGGGATTTCACTGTCATACACTGTTACTCACCACATACATATTTGGTTCACTTCTCTGTAATATTTTGTTAATATTTTAGTGATAAATAAATTTTTGTATGCTAGGTAAAAAAGCCGTAACTGGAAACGTAACGACGTTTTTGCTTAGTAAACGATGTAAATAAATGATAACGTTCTTAGTATAAATATCAAAATCAGAATATCTCGATGAAATAAAATTTGAAAATTAAATTGAATAGTTCCATTGCATTCATTAGGTATTTTACTAATAGAAATTATGTATTTTACTTTGAAAAATATTATATTTATGAAAATAGAACAACCAATAATCACAAAATATTAAAATTAATTTTACTCAAAATGGCATGTGAGAAACTTACAGAATTCTTCCTTTACAGGGCAGTATATACAATAGTATAACAATATTTTTTTTGTAAAAATAGTAGTAAGTACAACAAAAGTATTTAACAGAATTTATGAATTATTTGAATGAAATGTGTTACCAAGCAATTCTTAAGAACAGTGAGTAGGTAATGACTAGTGTATTAAGTAAAAAGAAAAAGAAACAAAAAATTGGTCACTTTGACCTAAACCAATCACAGTAGGAATATTGCTGAAATGCGTAAAGCACATTAGTAGGTAACGGGGACGAACAAAAATTGTAATACCTCTTCGGTGCAGGGAAGCGACGAGCATTACGAACTGCTACGAAATTCGTTAATTTTGATGAATAATAAATAAAAGAAAACAAAAAAAAAAACCGAAACAAATACTTACTGATGAGTTTATCGTAATCAATGCCAGTTTTAGACTTGGAACACACGTTCCACGGGTCGACCACATCGTCTTCGCAATTGTCGTCCTTGGATTCCAACGAAAGGTTTCCTAGATCCGTAGTCATTTTTCAATACGCAGCAAATATTCACCAATGTACACAGCTCCTCGTTAGCATTCACGTGTATGACTGTATGTAAGACACCGGTAATGGATATCATAATGATTAGAGGTATTGTTATCACCAACCGTTGTTATCGAACGTCTCGGCGGCGCAGAAGTAAGCGTGACACATACTTTGCCATTTCATGGAACAATAACCGGTAACTGGCGGCATCATCATCATTATTATTATTATTATTATTATTATTATTATTATTATTGTTACGCTCGCGTACAGTCGGTAGCGGAATAGAGGGAATTTAGTAACGAGGTACAACGGCCGAATGTTGATTGACACCTTTCACCACGCGTAGTTATGCGGTTACGTAATCACGGTACGTATGCAAACTTCTACGGACCGACTGTTCCGAGTAATCAAGGATTTTGTTCGAATCTTAACTACGAGAGTTCACGAATGTTTTCCCGCGCACGCACCGTGGACCTCCCCCATGGTGTTTGATAAAGAACGGAAATAATAATAAAAAAAAAAAATAAGATGAACAATATATGAACTTTTCGAAGCTTTTCACGTACAAAGGTCTATGACGCAAAATTTGCACGAATAAAGTAGCGCGACGTGCTTTGCATTATTATCGTTATTAAAATAATATTAAACGCGAGTTATTGGCGCGGGTACCCGAACAAAGTGCCATTAAATCGTATTATAATAGCATTATAATGGACGAGGAGTGCCATTTACGAAAAAAAAAAAAATAAATAAATAAATAAAAACAAATTTCATGTCAGCGTTCACATGGGCAGAAAACATTACCCGTGTACTAACAGAGACAATCATTTGCCGCGAGTGAATTTCCTCAGCATTACAAAAGGTCCGCTCAAACCAAAACGGTAGCGGTGGCGGTAACGGCAGCGGTATTTATCGCTTTTTAAATACCGCTGATCTAACCTAACCGGAAAGCCGAAAATTTCGCCGAAAATTACTAGTCGACATTGTGACACCCATGCGCGTATGTGTATTTTAGTTATTATTATATTTTTATTTATTAATATTAATATTTTAAAGTACAAAACAACAAATTAAAAATATAATCATTTTTTCTCGTATCCTTGAATTCTGGAAGTGTCATATTATATATGATGGGATATTTTTTAACAATAACTATTAACTGTTCAACTTTATTGGTCATTTTTATTATAAATAATAAATTTTAAACAAGAGAATCATACATTCAAACATTACGACGTTAGACTGCAAGGTGTAGGATTACGATGAATAGATATGTGTTTGAATATAAAGTCAAAATATATCATACAATGTAATGATAAGCTTTCTATAGATATTAATATATTAATAATAAAATGTAGATAACTCATAGTTAGAAATTTACAACTGATTATCGCAGCGGTAAGCGAAAAATATAGTGTCTGCAGCGAAAAATAAAAATATCGCACTCAATCTTGCGGTAACATTTATTAATTTAGGGATAGTGAGTGTGCTCGTATTAAAACGTATGGAAATTAAATTTCACTGCCGCTACCGCTTCGGTTTGAGCGGACCTTATGGAGTAAGTTACATTATCATTATATCTACTATCGTGTAGGTATTCTACATAATTATTCACATTTGTATCGCCGACCATAACGAACCTGTTATTAATTAATTGTTACTTTGTGTGCTATATGAAACGTCGTGATAACTGTTACGAGGAATCTGTTCCGTAGTCATCACACTCTTTAGCTGAATCGATGTTAGCGAAAAAATAAAAATGTAATAAATGGATGCCCGTCCGTTTAGCAGCGATAAGCCGACGCGTTCTGAACAAACACTTTCGCACCCCGTTGGTGCAGCTTTCGAGAACAAAAGGTTGGCGACAAAAATAATCGTGTCCGAGTACGGTTTGTACACGTCATTACGTTTTATTTTTCTTACCGATCACTTTTATAGAAAATTACACTTACCCGATGAGAACAAAACGGAAATCAATATCACTTAGAGAAACAATCGTCACTGTTCGACTGTATCGTTTTACAGATGTATTGCATCAATTAAAGTGGTATTAATAATTATTATGTGCAAGTTAGATAATTTTATCAGTCAGTCGATAAAAAAAAAAAAAAGCATCCAATTAATATTAGTACCAACATTTGTACCATACTACTCCGTATAATATGTAAATCTGTATATTATGAACACATTGCATTCGTATCGCATCAATCAGATTGTGTATAGTTTTGTTAAAATCGAGTTATTAATTACTGATTTTGTTTCATCAGCGAAGTGTTTGTCGACAGGCATAATATTACCAGGGGTGTATTTAGACTTACTTTTAGGGGGGGGGGGGCGATTCAAATTTTTTCTTTATTCAGGCTCAAAATTTACAAGTAAAATTTTTGGTAATATTTATATCAGGTGAATCCTTAATATTTGTGGTTTTTTTTTTTTTTTAATCTAATGCCGGATCCACTTAGAATGGTTTTGTTTGCAGGTCTTTTTTAACTCCTATCTGTGTTTTGAAAGTTTCACTTGTGTTTTATCTAATTTTTCACTTAGTATGGACTGGGTCTTCAATCAAAATAATATATATTATTTATCGTTATGGTACATATAAACGTGATAAGTAATTGAGCGTTTAACGCTATAAATAATTTAAACGTTATTCAATTTAAGCGTTTAAACGTTATAAAAATTTAAACGTTTAAAAAATTTTCTGTTTACCGTTATTGACAATTAAAAAGTTATGAAAAATTTAGCGTTTTGCATTATTTAAATTAGTGTAAAATTTGAAACATTTTATAAAACAAAATACTCATTACTTAAATAAAAATTATCTTGGTCTTAAAATTCTCGGGGGGGGGGGGCGATGGGGGCAATCGCCCCCCTCAAATACGCCACTGAATATTACACTTATTAAAATGGTTTTTACATACTTAATGTTAATATTCATATTTCAAAATATATAATTATTTAGTAAATTGTATACATACATATTGTATACATATATTTTAATAAGTATTTAGATACAATTATTAAAGTTCAAAAACAAATTCTAAACAATGGATTGGTTTCTTGGTTGGCTTTTCTTTCAATAATATTATCTAATTTTGCAAGAATATGTTGTAAAGCAAGATCATTCAATGGTTGAACAAATATTTAATTAGCTTTACTATATACTCATGCAGAGATATACATACATTTAAACTATATTAGTGAAAGATTAACTAACTAAGGAACTAACACCTCGTCAAGAATGTATTCATTAGCTTTAATAATTGTATCTAAATACTTACTATGTGTAAGCGAATTAACACTATCTATGTTCGACCATAGTGTTAATTAAACGTAATGTGGAAAAACTTCTTACAACGTTTGAAATAGCTTCCTCTAGACCTTTTTTGATTTTTTATAGATTACATCTCCAATCTACTATTTTAGTAATCAGGTATTAATTATATAAAATAATTTACTCATATGTGCTATTTTAACATGTTAAAACAGTATTAAATGTATATCTATTTAATGAATATATAATATTTTATTTATACTGAGTTTTGGTATTCTGTCTAAAAATAATCAACTATATAAGTATATGTATCTTAATTTAAATTTTTATTGTAATAATTTTTAAATTTTACATGGCACCTGACAAGTGAAATTTTTTATATAATTTATATAAATATGGGGTTTTGTTATAAGAATAAGTAAACAAATAATTCATACAAGTATGTAAATGAGCAATTGTACACACATGTATGTTAACATAAATATAATTATGCCATAAGATCTTGCCCCCTCCTCCCAGCAGGGCCGGCGTTAGTGGGAGGAAAACCGTGGCATTTGTCAAGGGTCTCGCGCTTATAATTTTCATTGAAAAATATTTTGTACGGAAATCTCATAAAATTAAACGTGAAATGTGTGGATTGCCTGGCGAGTGCGATTTCTAGAGTAATCCGTTGGCGTGTAATAAAAAATCAATTAACAAAACAACAATATTATATTTAACATGTCATGTATGTACCAATGAGGACCTGTACGGCACGCCGCTAAGTATGGAAACCGGGATACATAGAAAATTTATTTGATCGCATTTCTTAAATTTAATCAGTTATTACCCGATATCGCGTGCAGCTGTCACCGAGTCTGATTACATATTATCGCCTTTAATTACGGCCTACAGGCTATATGTGACTATTGTTATTGGTAAAATAAGCATGCCTGGGCAATAACGAGTTAATGAATTAAAAGTAAAGTTAATTTAACTTATTAACTTAACTCATTTCCTTACAAATTAACTTGAAATTAACAAATTAACGTATTATTTTTTCATTCATCCCAATTAAGTTAATTTTGATTTTCAAGACCAGAAAAATATTTTTGTAAAATACCGCAATCGATAACAAGTTCATAGAATTTAGAAAAATATAAAATAACAATTATAAAAACAAAACAAACAACCTTTAAAGAGATAAATGATAACATTTATCTCGGTATTAATTATAAATTGGGGTCCCACTGATCTCGGGAAAAGTACTTAACTGTCTTCAGAGAAAAATTAGAGTAAAATTAGACATGCCACCCATGAATTACATTATCATAGTTATGAAAAGTGGCCGTAAATCTATATTATATATACAGTCAACTCGCGGTATAACGAAAAATCAAATGTATTTTGGTCCCTCGATATAACGAAGATTTTTTGGCTAAAGTTCACGCAATGTAATGAATTTTTACAATTTTGGAGATTGATACTGCACATTTTACGAGTTTGTTTCGGCCATTCTTATGTGATAAGATTGTGATTATGTTCATGTATCGTTTATATGATACACGTATGTTAAATGTAAATTGTATTAAATATAAATAACATTTTTTTGCTATCGGACAAAGATTTGGTTATCTGTGGAATTGTCAATGACAATGAGATTTTGAATAAAGCTGAAGACGAAGAGTCGCCCGTAAGCTCGAATGAAGCAAAATTAGGTCTCCGCGCCGTCTTAAGTTTTTACAAAGACATGATATTGACAACAGTGTATTTTGTAATATTCTAAATTTGGATAACACTTTTAATCGCGTAAGTGCAAATTAATACACACAAAATAAAAATAATCTATTTTTTAAAAAAATAAATAAGTATGTATGTAATAAACAAAAAATGTATGAATGTATCTAATAAAATATTTAATAATTATCTAATATTATATGTAGGTATGTAATTATAAAAATCTAATAAAATCCAAATTTTCTTTTAAATATCGTTTAAACAAATTTTGTTGATTTATGCTTTTGATATAATGGATTTCGATGTAACGAATTTTCGATATGACGAACTTTTTTCTCGGTCCCTTGAAACTCGTTATATTGCGAATTGACTGTATATATAATATCTATACTACGAAAATAGGTACATATTATTATTGACTAAATAATTTTTAATAATAATTGTACTCTATTATTATTAGAATTATTTCATAATGTATGATATTAAATATTAATGAATAAGAGAAGAAATTTAATAGTTGATCAACATTTTGAGATGCCTCTTTTATTGAGACTCAGTAGGTTTTTTTATTAATCTGTCCATTGTATTGTTTAATTTAGATTTTAATAAAATTAAATAATATTATATATTTATTTTAATGTTTTATATCAACTGTATACATTTATTGCCTGTATAATTTTATAGTTACAGTTTTAGTTTATACATATCTTATATCAACGCTTAATTTAAATATTTATTTTTTTTTGTAATTAACCTAACTTATTAATTGAAGTTAAGTTAAGTTAACGATATTTTTTAACTTAATTTTTAACCTAATTGAACTGAATTAAAAAATATCATTAACTTGCCCAGCCTTGAAAATAAGTTTTGCCCAGAGCCTCGCAAAAGGTAACGCCGGCCCTGCCTCCCTGAGTAAAGAATCAAAGCTGCCTCTAGAATATATATTATTTTGAAGAAGTCTATGATGGCATACTTGTTTTATTACATGTAGATAAGATACCTTACGTGTGTACCGTTGCTTCTCTATCATATTCTGAGACAATTTGTAATTAATTATTAGCAATAAACGATTGCCGGTTACACTATCAGATAAGAAGAATAATAAGAATGAGATAAAAACAAGTTTGAAATTTGAAAATTATTAATTATTTATTTAAAAATTATGAGATAAAGCAAATTAAATTAAATTTTTCGATTTCATATTTTTTATAAATACCTACTTTTTCGTTGGTAAGAAAATGTTTACAAGAATAATTCTTATAAAATTGTTTAACTATTATTGTTAATACTAATTTTTTATATATTCATGAGGGTGGCGAATGCCTTCAAAGCCTCTACCGTGGATCCGTGCCCGTAGTGATAATAATAATATACAACGTGAAATGTTCCACATTTGACGTACGTTAACTCGTACCGAACGTCGTTGTATTCACTTTTATCGCATTCATACAGGAGATAACGCTATATGATTCGTGTAATACTTATGAGACGTTTGTCCTAAATAGTAATAATAAAATTGTAATAATCTGTACCACTGCCAAGGGATTCATTCTCTTCGAAACGTTAGATTCATTTTTTACGTAATTTTAATATTTAAAACATTAATTTATATACTACGTAAATATTTTAACTTGTGTCAATAGAGTTCAGTTTTCAGACATTTAGTGATTTAGGATTTTAACGTGAATGTGTATAAAATATATTAGTAGTTATTCAATTGCGCAAAAAGTAAAGTACAAAAATAATTTGTAATAAATGCAAATTAGAAGTCAATCGACGAGAGCGTCGGATAAAATATGATGTCAAGATTGGTTTATATATGAATTATATTGGCGAAACTAGACACTTTTATTAGGTCTGGCCAAATTAAAAATATAAAAAGTATTATTACGTAAAATTAACTATTATTTTCTATAATATAATTATAAAAATAAACGTCAAATGTCTAAATTAAACAATAACTAATAAAACTGATTATTCGAATACATAGAATAGACTTATTATGTTCTATTATAATCCTTATTTGTACCAATTGTACCTATATACTATATTATATTATAGTATTATATGAAACGTACAAATGTATACGTTTACATGTATAAATATATTATTTATAATGTCTAAATAATTATTAAAATATAATATATACATATTTTTAGTTAGTATTAGGTAAAGCCATGGCCTGACTGGCCTGACTCCTGACCCGTAGTTTCGCCTATGATGAATTGGTATACGAAACGTAAATGTTTTGTAGAAATCCTGGTGACATCTCATATTTTCGATTCGTTTAACACGGTTAATGGTGTGCGCGTTGGAGTGACATTTATTCAGTGGGTAAGTTTGATTTAAACGGCCACAATTATATATGTAGGAAGCTGCCGGTTTAATGAATTGTGAAATAAAATGTATTTAATAAAAAGTAAATACATGCACTGTAAAATTTTGGTGTTGAAACTACGTGAAGTTATTTGTATAAAAAAAATGCTATGTTCAATAAGCATAAAACCGTTTAAATGCTATATAGCATGGTCAATCTGATGTCTGGTTATAGGTGGCTAATCTGCGGTTCGCATCTTATCTTAAGATACAAAACATTTTTACCAAAAAAAATATTTTTAATACAAATTTGTGAATTTATGTATTTGAAGAAATGTAATATTTTAATAAATTAAAATTTATAGAAAAAATGTAAAAAAAATATAATATTTTTGATAAAATATTTAAAAATGTATTTATTTTTACTTTTTATTATTAATTTATATTTTATTTGCTGCGTGTTCATTTTTTATTTTATACATTTTTTGAAGTTAGGATTATACGTTGTTAGAGAAGTCCTTAACAATTTCGTTATATTATCATCCGTTAAAATTGAGTGATGTTTAGATTTAATAATTTTTATTGTCGAGTATAGAAATTCACAAGAATATGTTGTTTCGAAATTCGATATTAATTATTAAGCACAAAGAGTAATTTTTGGATATTTAATAACGGGCACACGTTTTTAAAATTCCAATAAAGAATGACAATTGTATTTGAACTAATATATTATTATTAATATAGGGCCGGCTTTAGCTGCGATCGACGCACAGTGGGGCAATTGACATCAAAAGCTGGCAAAAATCAAATTTTACTCATCTTATCGAATTATTATATATATATATCAATAAAGGAGTTCATACTGCATTGTTTATTGGTTTTGTGCACATGTTGTGGTTTAAATTGATTTAGTTATAGCAGACGTAATATAAGTCCACCGTGTATTACAGTGTAAAATCTAACAGAATAATATTATTTTAAATTTTAGTTTTTTTCAGTAACTAATATTATTTGTTTATTGAATGAATTTATTATGGAACCACTAGCTACAGGTTAGTTACGTAACGTTTAATACATACGTTTTACCGAGTTATACATATAATATTTACATAAATAATTAATAATAATAATAATAATAATAATAATATATTTGCAACACAAAAACAATATATAGTTTAAGTTCACTTCTAAGGCTTTCCAAGTTTTAAAATTATGTCAATTGCCCCACTGTGCGACGCGTGCGACGGCACAGGGCGCTAAAATCAGAAGGACGTGTTAAAGACGTCAAAATTAGAATTTAATTTGATCAATTGTTGGTGACACAAATTATCTACTATAGATAGAAAAATAAAAATTCACGATGTTAGATTCAATATAAATTTGATTATTATTATAATTATCATTATTTATTATTCTATCAACATGAAAATATTGGCTGCGCTTGTAGGTATTGTATCTATTATTATAATTGTACCTATTAGTTTTATAAACTATAAAAATCTAAAAAAAATGTATTATTATATTATTATAAATATTATTGTGTTTGTTTTCTGAATAATTTACAAATATGTAGCAAATATGCACGTTTAAAAAATTATTTTGTGCATTTATGATTATGACTGAGGCTTAAGTTATAATCTCTTCCACATTTATTAATATATTGGGTGGCTCGCGAATCTCTCTCCTGGCCATCCTTGTTTTATAGGTATTAAAAAAATGTTCGGTAAATATTGTAATATAATTTCGATTAAAAATGTTTTGTTAAATTAATCATGACAGTACTATGTTATTCATTATTTTTTCCTCCGCCTTTAAGTAATGCCTAACTGGCCAGTGCTTTTAATCCGGATCCGTACACGTCTATACAATAAGTGGCATATACAAGGAATGATGTGGGGGTCATGTCCCCCTAGATCTTTTTTTAAATTTTATAAAATAATGTTCTTAGTGTGAGGGCGTAGTTTAGTTAGAAAAGTTAAAAAATTTAAGGTAGTAGTTTAGTTAAACGTAAAAAAAAAAAAATAAAAAAAAATAAATAAAAATAATGATTTATTTATACATGAAACCTCCCCCATACAATAGTTATGTATACGCCACTTTATACAGTATATATCTTAAGCTAAAAATATAATATCGCGTAATTATTATAAGATAAATAATTTATCTTATAATGATTACATAATACATAATTACATAATTATTACGTGTGAGTAGGTTAGCTAAGCCTATTGTGTGTATCAACTGTTATATTGTGCACCAAAATTCAGTAATTAACTCTCATTGTTTTTCACGTTTATTAACATTTATAAACGTTAATAACTATAGTTATAATGTTCTAGGACAGTGTTTCTCAACCTATGGGTTGCGACCCAATATTGGGTCGCGACTGTCGACCAGTTGCATCAGGCAGTACTATGATTATTTATAATACTATATTATCGCAAATTTAAATTTTTTTTTTTTTAGTGTTGGGAAAGGGTTGAGTCACGTTATCAACAAGCAGTAAATTTGTGGTTCATTATTACATAAAGTTTGGGAAACACTGTTCTAGGAGACGTTGGCGCATTAAAACTTTGAATACCGGGAAAGCCAGAAAAATGTGTATGGTACGTAATGTAAGTACTACATGTACATTGTATGGCAAATATATCAATGTGACGAATACAGTTTCTGATAATATTTCTATGTTATAGCATATTTAATTAATGGTTATAGTATTATGGTTATAAATAGTCAAAAGTTATATTTTTTGATACAAAAAGTGATTATATGAATAGCCGAATATTCTAAATATATAAATTAATTAAATTCAAAATAAATTTAAATAATTCTAAAGTGTTACAGCCAAAAGTTATAAAAATTAAATTAAATCTATATTCAAGCTTATTGAAGTAAGCAACGGAAAGAGGCTTGGATTTGAGTATCTATATTCTAAGTAGATATATATAACATTTATTTTTATTGTTATTAAAACTATTTGATTTTTTTTTCCATTTTAAAATATAAGTCTGTATCATGACGGAAATCAACTTTTTATTTGAGTTTATTATTGTCATTTAATTTGTTTATATGTTTATACGCAATATATTTTTAAAACCTATGTATTTTAATACATATAAAATACGTATATGTACAAGCAATAGTGATAAATATATGAGTACATCTTAAATGGTTCTCTATTACTTACGTCTACACAGTGGCGGATCCCAGATTTTCATTTCATTTTTTATTTATTTATTTATTTTTTTTTTTGGTGGAGAGAGGTTGAAAAATGTTTTCCCTTGAGATATTTTTTATAGCATTGCAGTCAGTGATTGATAATGAATTAAGATAATAGTAAGTAATATAATACATTAATTTAAATCTAAGACTACTAATTTATTGTATAAATAAAAATACAAATTATAATATAATTTGAAAGTTATTTAAAAGTTGATGATTACAAATTTGAAAGGGTACAGAGTTTCAAATACCTGGGCGCAGAGATCAATGAAAGTGCTAATAGCTACGAAGAAGTTAAAAAACGAATTACAGCAGCAAATAGATGCTACTATAGTCTAATGCCACTCTTCAAATCAAGATTACTATCAATAAAGTCTAAAATAACGTTATACAAAGTCATAGTCAAACCGGTTGCCCTGTATGCATGTAGTACATGGGCCACGACAAAATCGGACGAAGGAAAGTTAGCAGTTTTCGAAAGAAAGATATTAAGGAAAATCTTCGGTCTAAAGAGAAATAATGATGGAAGGTATGAGGTGAGAGGCAACAGGGAATTGGATGATCTATACAAGGAACCTACAATTGTTGGGTCCCTGAAGAGTACGAGGATAAGTTGGGCGGGACATGTATGGAGGTCAGAGAGAATGATTGGATCAATAACTAAATGGAAACCCGACACTAAAAGGCCTCGAAGGCGCCCCAGACAAAGATGGGTGGATAGAAAAAAGGAAGACTTGAAACTCCTGAACGTAAGAAACGCAGAAAAATGTGCAAATGATAGAGAAGAATGGAAACAATATGTTGTTGCGGCGATAGGCCTTAAAGGCCTGTAAAAGCCCAGAAAGAAGAAAAGAAGAAGAATATAATTTAAGTATATTATAATTTCCTTCATACTTTTTTAAAAAAATTCTTTTTCTTAATTCATAAAATTATTGATTTTTAATATATATTTTTCTTGATTTTGGAAGGAAGGGGTTTAACACCTACCCCGCTCGCCGTGGATCCGCCACTGCGTGTACAACTTGGTTTTGTTTTACCCGTGGCAGGTGAGCATAATAACTAAAAAAAGTAACTACTCGTATTTTTTTACTGGTTAATACCAAAGACCCTGTATAATATTTACCTATACTTATAATTATTCTCGTATGTTGATAATACTGAAACAAAATAAAGATAGTAAAATAGATAAGTAATATGTACACCAAATATTGAACTATTTAATATATAACACTACATTTATTATTGCAACGTATAAAAATGTATCTACACAAGTGCGATTGAAGTCTGAGTTTCTGCCAAAATTGATTGAGAATTAATTTAATTTTATAAACCATGTGATATGAAAGTTGGAAACCAATGTCAATTTACTATTGAACAACAACATGGAAACTGCCAGACACATTCAATGATAAACTATTCTAAAACAAAATAGAACTGACACAAAATAGAGTTTTAGTGTTAAACTAGAAACCGTCCTTTACTTGAACATGTGAAACACCACTGCTAAAATAAAGTCAACGACAATGCTATTTTCCATGATTTAATGAAATAGCATAATAGTTAAAGTGAGGTTTAGCAATCGATACCATGTAAATAAGAATTATTATTAGAACAATATGATTGTACTATTTGTACAAGTATTCGCAATACGTGTAGTTGACAAAAATATGTTGGTCTTATAAGATTTCAAAATAATCTACATTGTGTAGTGAACGTGGTGACCAAAACTCTTTAAAAAACTTAGAAAAGTTTCTCCATTTTTCAAATATAAAACTCACAATGTGTTTCAATCACTATAAAAAATGACTTTTCAATCATCATTAAAGTTCTTACATAATTCATCGATCCTTTTTGGCACTTTTCCATTTTAAACTGGTTCTCTTTAAAAAACAATACCTATCATACATACATAGATTGATATTATTATTGAACAACAAAAGAAAAACTCATATTAGTAAGTATAAAGTATATAAAAATAATACCTATCGAATTATGGGATTCAAAATATATGTAAATATAGCATTATGGAGTATTAAATATGTCTATAAGTAGTTGTTTGTACTTTTAGTAAACCGGTTTATGATATTATATGACAGAGGCATATTTACATATTTATAATAAAATAATTAATTAAGTATTCAATATTTTGTAAACTTAATACAGTTCAATATTCACAAAATGTATTAAACATATTTTTCATGTATAATTGGTGATTTATTTCAATTGGAATGAGATCATTGATGTAATTCATAGGCGTTTACACTAGACTAAGGAAATGAGAATCCTTTAGCTCGAACGTCTTTACGAGTAACTAAAAGTTTAAGGGAAAAAAATCGATTCTTACACAAAATGTAAGTTTTCAAATCAATCCATTTATTATGATACCCATATCGGTACGTCGTTACGATAATGTATTATTAAATACATCTTTTCTTTCTGATACCTCACCAAACATGGTAAAAGCTTTATATTTCATCAATATTTTTAGTATACTTCAAAATATTACACTACTTTTTTCTATCAAAAACTCAATATTGTTTTAAAAATGTCTATAAAATTGTACCGTTTATTGAAGCATGTTTTAATATCATATAGTCGAATTAAAATATTTGAAAGCGAATACCTAGTAGTGCTATCTGTATTGTAATATACATATATATTGTTATACGTTAACCACCAGCTAGATCTTGTTCATGGAGAAAATTTAGGGTAAAGTAGAATAGTTAATTTTAAATTAATTATTTGGTGGTAAAAACCTAATGAAAAGTTCACAAAGGAATAATTCAGAACATAAAACAATGTTTATCATGCTTTCATTCAGAATTGTTAAAATCAGTATTTTTTTTTTATTTCACACACGTCTGCTTTAAATATATTCCGAACCATAATCTTCGGAAGTTATATTATATTGCTTGATGACTTAACCTAGAATAAGAACTTTTTTTTAATTCTAAACTCATTTACTTTAATTGGCCTTTAATATATATATATATCAAAATATTAAATACACCTTAATTACTTGGCAAGACATACAACACTACTTATTCAAGAATTAAATTAGCAATATCATTATTATGTATTTTCTTAAAAAAAATGAGTTTTATTATTACTAATAAAAATTATTAGTGTGTATTATTTTTATGTTTTCCTATTTGCATTTTTTATGTGCATATTTTTGATATTTTGAATGCAAAAAAGCAATAATATTTTATGTTTTAGCGCATAAATCTAAACTCTAGTTATGAAAAAAAAACTAAGAAGTAACCCAATAAAAATTTAAATAGTATAGACTATAGAGTATTAAAATTAAATCAGTTTACGAATAACAAATTTTATGCGCCATTTAAATTATATTTTCTAGAATCGTCTATATTATTATTATTGATTATATTTAAAACTGTTAAATTTGATGTTAAAAATAAATTGTATTTGAATTTTGTACTCTGTAATTTACATACAAATTTACATTTATATTCCAATTTTACAGCATAGTTAACAAAAAACTATAGATAATCAATTACATTTTTACTCATAGACTTAGACTTAAAATCTATATACGACTATAATGTACATACATATATGTAGTAATACAAATAAAATTTATAAAAATCCATTAAATTAATACTTTATTGTGAAAATGTTATTAGAAATTCAAACATTTGACATTTTTGATTTTATTTTATAAGCACATCAAGCAAATTGCATACGTAATGTGTGTAGAGACAGTCATTCAATGATAGAATTTATTATTTATATTTGTTGCACTACATAGTATTTAATAAAATAGCTGATAAGATAATGGTGGCGGAAGTTCATCCTTTGTTCATTTGGTCCTCGGACTAAATAATGGTAATTGGTGTATTGGGTTATAAAGAAATTATAACTAAATTCTTTAGTTAAATGATTCTTAAAAAGATTAAAAAGATTCGGTATAAAAGTTTACTATTTATATATTTTACCATTTTTTGTCGGATTGTTGATAGGTTTTTTTTTTATCAATTGATTTAACATTTTCTTGAATGATGAAGGAGACATTTTTAAATAAATATTCAAAATATGTTATTCCATCTGTATTTAAAGTTTTCATATGATTGGATGTACCTATTTATTTTAATAAACATTTAAAGTTGAAAATGTATGAAAAAATAGTAAATTTCTTAACGTAATATAATGATTTACTTAAACGCTTATAAAATTAAACCCTATCGATTTTTGACATTTTTTCAGTACTGTTCAGTATTGAGTAAGATGGTATCAAATGTTCATATCAGTGGTGGGAATTATTCGAGTATTCGAATATCAGATGCTACAATACAATACGTAACGAAAATTATTCGTTTAAGTTTTTGCGCAACACAAAACGTTTAACAATATCATATGGCTTATGGAGCATAAAGGCCTGCGAGAAGTGGATTCGAAGCCAGCGATATTTACTATTTGACATGGCAATTAAAATACAAAAATAAAAATTGTGCAAAATACTCGAATATCATAATTAGATTATTATTAATACATAAAATTATTATTAATACATAAAATTATTATTAATACAGTATAAACTATAAATCACTATAGCGAGCATCACTTAGAACGAAATACTGCTTATAAAAAGCAAAACGTTAGGTGCTGGCACGGCACATGTGATTGTATGTTAAAATATACGTCTACCAACGGGTAAAATAAAGCTAATTACGAACAAGTACCTGCAAGATAAGAACTATTTTCGTATTTAGGTAGATTAATCATTGATATACATTATCTTTAGTTGTGTAGATATGGATTACATATTAATAATAAATAGTCTAAAAAGCTTGTTATGGAAAATCAGATAAAATAAATAAGGTATTGTAGCATCGAATACTGATATTCGAATATACATTACATCTTTAGTTCATATCTTAATGTATAATATAAAAACTTTCAAAAATGTAAGTATGTTCTATATTTAAACAAAAAGTGATTAATTTTTTTTGAAAGTTTCGTTAAATATAAAATAAAATATCTTTGATATTGGATGAAAACTTCAAGTTTCTTTCAACGAAAAAATACAAATGAGTAAATAGTATAATAATTAGATAAGCTATACTTAGTCAGTATGAGTAATAGGCTTTGGCTTTATGCGGTAACTTATTGAATTAGTGACAATACACTGAAATATGATATAGCTTATGTTGATAAAAAATAAGAACAATAATTGTATACATTTTAGTGCTCGTAACAGATATTTATTTATTATTTACTGAACTTGACAACATTTATTATTATTATTTTTTTCAATATTAACTTGGTCTAACTGCATTCTTCAATGAACAATATATTAAAGTAATTAAAAATAAATGTTAATTTACAATTAAATGAATTGTTTTATATTAAATTTAATATTCGTAAATATCTTTAGAAAATTAATTAAATTATAATGAAAAATAATTCACTACAATTAAAAAAAAAAATATTTACGAGTATGTACCTGTTCAAAAAAATATTATTTGATATTATCTACATATTTTTTAAAAAAAAAAGTTAAAGCGTATGAAATAACTGGATGACAGTAATAAATGCATCCTGACTATTTTAATTAAAAAGGATATATATTTTATGGTAATATTATATTCTATAAATTATTAAAACGATCGTAATATATTTGAAAATAACTTAGTAGAATACTTAATAAATAATAAAATTAAAATTCTTGAAGTACATTTCATTTTTACTACTCATTATATTCAGAATTCCAAGAACATTTGTTGATATATCAATATATATAGTATATATTGATCACTTGTTCAAGTATTTAAAAAAATATTTCTATATAAATTATTTTGTTAATATTTTA